GGAAGTCAATCTTGCCCGTGCCTCTGTTTCTTCGTATTTAAAATGGGCACAGTGTGAGAGCTGCCCTCCAGGCTGTGGGAAATCACTTGTGCAAAAAAGGATGGTGGCTTGTGTGGAGTAACTTTGTGAGAATTCAAAGAAGGCAGCCCCTCCTGGCAGAGTGACTAGAGAAGGGCACACCCCTCCTCCAGGTGGAGGCAGACTTATGCCAGGGTCTGGGGAGCCGCTCAAAGACTGGGCTCAGCTCTCCTTTGTCCCTTTGGCTGGGAGCTCTTCTGCAGTACACACCCTGCACAACTGTACCTGGCAACCCTGCATGGAAAGCACTCAGCACAGTAGGCACTCCATCCCTGGTGGCACTGGGGTCACTGTCATCATATATTATGATCTGAATGCTTCTGACGCTTAAGATCCTTGAGGAGCTAAGCCCTCTGAAACTTTGTCATCTCTTTAACATAACGCAGAACCAAGCTCAAATCCCGCGTCCACCACGTCCTGGCCATGTGGCCTTGAAGAAGGCATTTACCCAAGCAAACCTCAGCATCCTCATCTGCACCGCAGGAAACCATAATTCCCACCTGGCGCTGAGGCTTGGGTCAGACAGTGGGCGTCTGCTGAGTTCAATGTGTGGCAGCTGCCAGGTGCTCAGTAAATGTTCGTTTCCTTCACAGTAAGGAGAAGGGGACCTCCTCGCCGGGGCTGTCTCCCTTTAGCACAAGCATCCGTTGTCAATGTGTTCAGGACTTGAAAAAAAGACTTATCAAACCATTTTCAGGAAGACGCCCAACATTCCGAGGTGTAACCCATTTGCAGGCAAAGAGCATCAAGTTTGTAATCGGGAGGCCGGGAGCCCAGTCCCCAAGTATCCCCCTCCACCGACTCACCTTGTGACGTCGGATAAGTCACAGGCTCTCTGAGATTTGCTCTCCTTTCTGGGAAACCAGGAGCAGAGGAAATGAGGGTTATTGCATATTTTGCACAGCGGTGGCACCCTTGATTCCAAACAAGCCTGTGTATAAGCACAGAATGCAGAGCAGGTGAAAACAGAGATGCTCTGATTGAAGCAAGGCCCAGGCAGGGGCTGCCACACTGCCCCATCGCTCTTCTCACCCAGCAGCAGCCTCTGATGCTATTTCCAGCAAGCCCGGGGCTCTGGAAGTGCACTATGGCAGCCGCTGGACTCACCTCTTCCTGCTTAAATAGTCCGAGACTCTATGTCCACGCTCTGACATCCACTGCCTTGCCACTCAATTCATTCTGACCCTGTGTGCGTGTGTGTGTTTGTGTGTGTACCACAGACAAATGCTGGGAAAGGAAGCAAGAAGTTCCACCAGCCATTAACGGAAAATTACAAATGCATTTTTCTCTGCCTCTGGCACATTAATAAAAGAGATCACAAAACTGGACGTGAGTCGAAGCAGGGCAGGCTCACAACAGCTGGAAAGGGAGGGGTGGGGGGGGCGACCGCTTCCTGTACAGTCATCTGATTTCCTGGCTGCTCCTGTGCAGAGAGGACCCGTCTGCGGCAGCGGCTGGGACGATGCAGAGCTCACGCATTAAGCACGAGGGGGACCCTCGCAATGTGCACTGTGGGCCTGGAGGAGGATGGAGAGGAAGACAGGCCCGGGGGTACGCCTGTGACACACCCCAGGATGGCAAGGCCTGTGGACAGACACCTCGAGGTTGTTTAATGCTGGCTCTGGAAAATCCCTGAAAATGGCGAGGCGAGTAACATGAGAGGATGTAGAACGCAGAGGGTGCAAAGAGGTTGTAGGTTCTGGAACATGGGAGGGTCACCACAGCCACTTAGTCTCAGCAGGCCCAGTGAGGGGGGGCTGTGTGTCCTGAGCACTGGGCTAGATGCTGAGGCTGGCTATTGGTATGGACTGAACTATTGGTCCTGATCCCTCCCCGTCCCCTGGATCCACGGCTTTGGCCAGGTGACTCCCCAGCCTCTCCTCCTAAAGGGTACGTTCCTGTGCTTTGACTGTGAGCTTGACCACATGCCTGGCTTTGGCCAACGATACGTGAATGGCACTAGTTCTGGGACGAGACCATAAGAAGCCTTGTGTGTCTCTCCTTCTCTCGCACCTCTGCCCTCGCCGTGAGAGGAACCTGCTCTGCCCAGCCTGCTGGCCCACCGAGGATGACAGACACGAGGAGCTGAGCCAGGCACAACCTGCAGCTCAGAGCTGCCCCAGCTGACTCGCAGAGCAAGGCTCGATGGGAGGGAGCACCTGTTGCTGTAGGCAATGGAGATTCAGTGGATGTTCATTACACGGCGCTAGCTGACTGATACAGTTATCTAGGAAGCATTCCTTTTCTTCACATATTGGTTAATTCAGGAATTATTCCCTAAGCCCTTCCAGGCCACATTTGGGAGGCAACAGGGATATCATGGTTAATAAGAAATCTGTGAAAATGGGCAGAGATTTCAGATTTAATAATTCAAGGATTGAACACCTACCAGTGCTGGGCATGGAAATGTCTTGAAATTACAGTGGCTAACAAAATGCTTAAGGCCCTTGCACTCCTGGGGCTCACAGACAGCAGATAAAGCAAATGACAAAACAGAAAAGTTCCCAAAAACCTGAAGAAGCAGGTCGTCTCTTCCTTAAACTGTCACTGTCCAGGGAAAAGATGGGAAAGGCAGCAGACCGGCACAATAGGAAGCTTGAAGTGCTGGAATGAGAGACCTACAGACAGCTCAGAGGAGGCACCTCCCACGGCCTGGGGGTGGAGACAGGAAGAGGCAGGTGACAGAAGGCTTCTCAGGGCACAGAATGTCTGAGCCGGGCACTGAAGGGCCAATGGTTGGCAGACAAAGAGACGGAAGGCAGGGATGGAGCGCCAGGCAGAAGGCACAGCAAGAACAAAGATAGGGAGGAGGAAATAGCACGGTGCCTGGGGGTCAACTCATGCTTCTGTATTTTATTGGAAAATAGAGTAGAGGAGAGAGGGGCAGGGTATGAGGGGCTGAGAGGGACCGGAGCATGAAGGAGCCTGGGTGCCAACCAGAGATGCTGGGACTTGACCCAAAGAAGGGAATGAGAGAGCCACAGAGGGGTTTGAGCGGAAGAGCACCACGTCAGGCTGCCATCCGAGAATGTGAGAGAGGTCGAGTGGCTGTAAGGAGACCAGAGGTGAGCAGGCCAGGAGGGGGGGAGTGACACCCACACTGGGACAACATGGGGATGAGAAAGGGCCCCACCCTCGGGCTCACGGAATCAGAGATTGTGCAGCTGGATGTGTCCTGGGCCCACAGAGTTCCATCCACTCCTTTTGCAAAAGCTGGGTCTTAGAGAAGGTGGTGACGTGCCCCCAAGCCTCACAGCGGGTGAGCTCGGGGCTCAGGACAGGAATTGAAATCCTCACCTTGCTAACCCCACACTCATGCCCCCAGCCCCACTGTCTCCCAACCCGCACAGTCCAGTCGGTAATAACAACGATGATGACGGTCTGAGAACAGAGCCCCTGCTGTGTGCTGGGCTCTGTGCTCAGCACGTCGTGTGTACAATCTCACTGAACCCTCCCAGTGTTCCAAAGGCTGCAAGTTTCCCATTTTACAGCTGAGAAACCTAAGCCTCAGGAGGTGCAGGAACTTGAACTTGAGCCTCAGTGTCTGTCTCAGCTCCAGCTGCTGTGACAGGACACCAAAGACCAGGTGACTTAAATGACAGACATTTCTCACCATTCTGGGGGTTGGACGTCCAAGATCAAGCTGCTGGCAGATTTGGTTTTTGCTGAGGGCTCTCTTCCTGGCTTGTAGGTGCGGACACAATCTCTTCTTTGCGTGTGGATGGAGAGAGAGAGAAAGAGAGAGAGAGCGATCTCTGACTTCCTCTTCTTCGAAGGACACTAATCGCATCATGGGGGCCCCACCCTCGTGACCTCATCTGAACCTAATTACCTCCCAAGGGCCCACCTGCTAACACCATCCCACTGGGGCTTAGGGCTTCAAGATACGAATTTTGAAGGGATACAAATGTTCAGTCCATCAAAGGATCTTCTTGGGGATAACAGAGCACCTCCTGATAGAAATGTGCAAGGGCTAGATGAAGTAAGGCATAGAAGGGCCCAGCACAGCGCCTGGCACACAGAAAGCTCTTGGCAAATGAGAGTGACAGCAAAGATGACGACCATGATGATGATGACAACGATGATGGAAAGACTCAGATCTGGCCTTGACGCCACTGTGTGACCTTTGGCAGCTCACCTAACTCTCGGGGCCCCGGGCTCCCCCGTCTGTCAAATCAGCACTTTCGTCCAGGGTAGCAGCTCTCAGGGTCTGTCCCCTCGGACAGCAGCAGCAGCCACCACCTGTGACCTTGTCAGGAACGCCTGTTCTTGCGCCCTCTCCAGAAGGACCCAACCTGAAATCTGCGAGTGGCGCCCAGCAATCTGCGTTTTATAAGCGCTCCTGATAAGTCCTTCGTGTGTGCTGTTTGATCTGGTCTAGATAAATGATGTTTCAATTTTTTTAAACGACGTCATGCTTTCTTCTAACAAAACGGGGAGAAGGTAGATAAAAGAAGCGCCAGTGCTGGGTGGAAGCAGAAACCAGGGCCATAGCTCTGTCCTCTCTCCCATCCTCGCCCCCCTTGGGGGCTCCCCAGATCCCGGCGTGAAGGCCAAGGTGAGGGGGCAGCTCGCTGGGCCCCGTGTCAGCTCCTCCTGCCCACCAGAGCCAACGCCCAGGCCCTCCGCCCTCCCCCTCAGGCTCCATCCTGTCGACATGTTCCGTGAAGTATGGATTTGTTGTGGCCTTGTGAAACCTGCTCTGTCTCTTCTCTCCTTGCTTATTTTTTTTTTAAATAGGTTTGAGCCTGTAATTCAGTTAATTATTTCCCAGAGCACCAGTTTGGTGGCTCTGGCACAGCACGAAGCAGGGGAACGGAGATGGGTCTTCAGGAACATCTTTCCAGAAAATCTAATTTCATCATTGAGAAATCTTCTGTCTTAAGCAGCCTCCGCCACCGCCATAAATTTACATATTCTATATGCCATCGCGGGAAAGCGGTGGGCCCTATTTGCATAATGCTGCTGGAGGGCTCGGGTTTCTCTTGAACCCGAATGCAGCGGGAGCAGGGAAGCAATTATTAAGCTGTAGACATATTAAGCCGAGGCCGGGAGAGAGGCTTCCGATGGATCTCGACTCCCAACCTCCTTTGCCGCCCGGGCTGCTCGTTACCCGAGGCCTGGACCCCAGGCTGACGGTGAATCCCAGGGTTGGGAAAAATCGGTGAATCGCTGTCTTCGGGGTACGTCCATGGCCAGGCGAGGTGAGCAGCGCTGGCTTTCCAATGCTGTTGGGTGGAGCGATCTTCTCCCTGTTCCCACGGAGAAATTAGTTTCGTGGACAGTTTTGTCATGTTGCCTTTGCCAACACCTCCCTGCCCCTTTCGGTAACACACCCCCAAACGCCAACAGGGCAGGTCAGCAAGGGTTTGCCCATCAACACGCCCACAGTCTGTCAGGAAGGCTTGATTAAGAAAATGGTGTTGAATAAAGTCCCAGGGAGAAAGTGGCAAGTGGAAGAGGAATTCTATCATGCCACAGTGGTCCTGCTTAAAATCTATTCTTCCCAACTGTGGGCATCCGGTGGGACAATCCTTACACTTTGGCTCAGGGTCTCAGGCCAGGGGTCGTTAGATGTTCCAGGACCCACAGGTCCCTCTCTGTAGTTTCTAGACCTTTCAGAGCTGTGAGCTTGACCTCTGAGCTACTCCATGGCCCACCACTTCCAATCTCAGTAGCACATGGTCATGAATGGCCACTTCCGGCTCTACGGGGCGCCATCTTGATTTCAATCCAGCGTTGCTCCAAAAGGCCCCTTGTGTTCCCAATGCTCACAGAGCAAGTCTTGAGTATGGGGCCAGTTTTTAAATCAGGTTAATTCATGCACTACCCAGCCGGGCATCCCCCCGTCCACTTCTCTAGGTAAATACCATGGGCATACTTGCTAGGTGGTGCCAACAGAAGTACTAAGCCCCCTTGACAAATTCACTGACAGAATAAAACATCGTCCCGCCAATACGGAAAGCTGAAGATAACCAACGCTTCACTTCTTATATTTAATAAGAGACTGTGCAAATTTCATTTTTCCAAACAAATATGTTTTATTTCTGGGGAAGTGCAAATACATTGGAAAATACCGGTTTTACTCCTGACTGCCTCGGTGCTCAAAATTGGTGGAGTTGCTCAGCCCAGAGATGACCCGCGGGATGAAAAGTTCCCTTGGTGCCAGGATTGGAACAACCAGACAGCTGGAAATTTGAAACAGCAGGTTATTCGCCGAGAAAAAAATAATTACATATCTCCACTTACTAAGAAGTGCCGTTGCCTCAAAAGACCTCAACATTTTGTCCTCGGCACCGACTGTCTCGTTACAAGAATTTGGAGGAAATTCACTTTTTCCATGATTGCATCCAAAGTGGAATTATTTCTCCAGGAAAAAAGAAGATTGCTCTTGATTAGCCAAACTCAGGGCCCTGGAAGCACAAATGGTGACTTTTTCCAAAGGAAACCATTTGGGTGCATAACTCAGACCAGTGCTCCACAGCCACTCATGGTCTGTGACATTCCAGGTCAGGGTTTCACTGTGGGTGTGGCCTCAAGCTCGTCTTGGACGTTTCTGAGTCTCCGTTTCCTGATCTGTCAAATGAGGATGATAATAGTCCCTGTTTCGTTATTGTCGTCGGGGAATTAGATGAGATTTGTCGAGTAGCTGAGTCACAAGAAGGTCACAAATGGGAGAGGGTACAGCCGGGATTGGAACTCCGGTGTGTTTCTCAGCCATCGTATGGTGTGCTGCCCGCCATGCCACAGAAATCCTGATGGCTGGGGCTCACACAGATCAGTCGTTGCAGTTGGCTTTCTAGGCTGTTCAGAGGGCATGAGGAGTGTCTCAAAGGGAGGCACTCAAGGGAACACGGCCTTCACTCAACTGGTCACCTCCTTTGGGAACAGAGGTCAGTGGCTCTTTCTAATCAGCCCCAGGAAAGACCCAACTTTTCCTCCATTTTGTGGGTGAGGCCTCCTTTGCTCGCTGGGGGGATGTGGGTGGGTTGTTATGGTAAAGGAATCAGGAGATGAAATGACAGGAAAAGCAAACGTCCCAAAGACAAGAGTTGAGCTTACAGACCCTCTCGTCAGAGTGGCTCCTGTGAGCTGGGCCTGCGCCCTCGCACAGCCTGCCCGCAACCCCAGGTCGCAGGGTGGATCAGCCACGGTCCAGGCGAGCGGGTGGCTGTCTTCCCTGTGTGCCGGCAGTGGCGTTGCAGCCTCTGAGGACAAGTCCTTGTGACAGAAATGAGCGGTGCTGTGCAGGGCACAGCAGGCAGAAAGTGAGGAAAAAGTGGGCCAGGATGAAAACACAAGAGCTCACCTAATTAAGAACCAGCCCTGATACAGTCGCCTGTTTGGCGGTACCTCCTACAACCAGACACGTCCCGATGTGTGACCCAGAGGTCTCACGCCTGGTTGTGCACCCAACGAGCACAAAGACGTGTGCAAGCATGTTCACGGCAGCTCTCTTTGTGACGGCCTAAAACGGAGAACGACCCAAATCTCCAACACCTAACCGGATAAATTGTGCCATATTCCCAGAGGGGCGCACAGTATACCGGGATTGGCAGATCCAGCTCACGGCCGTCCGTATCCAGCCCCTTCCTGTTTTGTAAATACGGTTTGACTGGAGCACAGCCACGTCGGTTCATTACGGAGCATCTGCAGCAGCTCGTGTGCTACAGCAGCAAAGACGGGCAGCGACGATGGTGACGGTACAGCCCACGGGCCCAGAGTAGTTACTCTCTGTCCCTTTCCAGAACAAATTTGCCACAAATTTGTTATATAAAAATGACCAGAAACAGTCTGTAACTTCCCTGGGAAATGGGAATGCTTTTCACAAACGTGATGTGAAGGGAAAGACGCCAGGCGTAAATGAGCACCTGTTGCATGACGGCGTTTACGTAAAGTGCAAAGACGGGCAGAGCTGCTCTGTGTTTCTGGAAGACAGGACAACGGTTCCCCAGGGAGAGAGCAACTGGAGGGGCAGGAATGTGGGCGCTGGAAATGTTCTGCTAGTTCCTGATCCAGGTGGAGGTTTCCTGGGTGTTCATTTTGTGAAAATTCTTTAAGACGCACACGGACGATGGGTGCATCGATAAAAATTTAAAAAGAAAGAAAGAAACAGTGGGTGTGGAGAGTGATGCCAAGTATTTTCTCAATGTATTTCCTGGGCAGAAAGCTTAACTAACAGATTGTCACGTTAGAAAACAGATAACTTTAACTTTTACACACGAGCACACATTTATTCGTTCACTCTGCAAATGTTTATCGAGTGCTCACCAGGCGCCAGGCGCTGGGGATTCAGCCGTGCGCTAGGTAGACCCAGGCCCAACCCGCGGCTGCTACGTCCACACTCTCGCTAGCTCACGGGAGCCGCGTCCATGCGGACACCCCCGCTCTCCAGCGCCAGCATGGACCTGCGCGCGAGTGCGCCCGGCATCCGCACCTGAAGTCCCGTCATCCTCATGCAGGCGTTCTTCTGAATTTTGCTCTCCCTCCCTTCGCTACCATAATCACGACCTCCCACCTCCCTCAGACACCAAGCTCGGTTCACCCAACCTCACCCAGAAGGCCTGTGCCCTCAGAGTTTAGCTCCAAAAATGGGAGGGGTCTGACCAGCTGGTTTCCCCAGGTCACACCTGGCATCTGAGGCACCTGGGGCTCAGACAAGAGGAGACCCAGGGCTCAGGGCATGGGCGACCTTGAACCCAAGGATTCCCTCTGATGTTCCCTGGATTTTCTGCTGGGCCTCGTGGCCCCGTGTGGCCACCTGCCACCCACAGAGTGTGGTCATCACAGCCTCGTAGCCTCGTGACCTGAGTTTTCTCTTCTGTGAATGAGTGCTGCGTGGGGAGGTTTCATATTTTCATCACGTATCCTTGAAAGAATGGCAGAGTGACAGAGCTGGGGGCCGTGAGCCCCAGTCCACCAAGCTGTGAATAAGGAAGTGCAGCTCCCATGATGGGGGAAGCGGCCCCAGGGGCCACACTCAGATGGGGCTGGATCCGAAGGAGTCTGTCCCTCGCCCGGGTGAGTGCCTCCTTGCTAAGATGCCCACACTGAACGGGGACGGCTGATCCTCCCCCAGTGGCCTCCCCACTGAGAACAAGTCCAGCTCCCCACTCTGGAGAAAGCTGCAGTGTGATCCAGCTCCCGCCCGCCTCTCCAACCTCACACCCTGCTGCTCTCCTTCAGTCTCCTTTCTGTTCCTCCAACATCCCGAGCTGGCTCCCACCTCAGGGCCTTTGCACATGCTGTTCTCTATACCCGGAGCACCAGTCTCTCTGTGTTCACAGGGCCAGCTTCTTCTATTCCTTAGGATTTTAGCACAGATGTCACCTTCTCAGAGAGGCTTTCCCCCATCGTCCAAGCCCGGCAAGACCCCCTGCCCCGCTTCACCTGTTCTCCATCCACCTCCCCTTGGTGACTTTCTTCACAGCACTCAGCTCCACCTGAAATCATCTTGTTTATTTATTTGTCTGCTCTTGACCTCCATCAGGGCAAGGATCACCTTCCCGTTCGTTGCCCTGTCCCAGCATCTCCAAGAAGCTTGACGTGCACAGTAAGCATGTAGAAGATGTTGAATGAAACGAACGAAGGAGTGAAGGAATGAACCGAAAGAGCATCCACATGAGAGTGGCTGACAGTGCAGACACATCTCCAAGAGGTGCAGGCTCCCTAGGCCGCCTGATTAAGATGTCCCCGGTATGGGCAACAGCCCCCGGTTTCTTTGTATGTGGACACATATTGACCCGGGGCCGGAGGGACTCTCGGCAGGGATTTGTGTTACTTCTCTGATCAATAGGCGTCTCGGCGCTCGCCCCACACAATCCATCGCTGCTGCCTATTAATTACAGTGCCTTCCTTTCCTCGCATCTCTTGACCCGCCGTGAGGTTGGTCCTTGTCCATCCTCTGCCAGGGGAGTTCCTCGTGTGTATCTGATGTTGGAAGAGGCCCTTAGAGTGTTTTTTGTTTTCTGTTTCTCCTTCCGAGCCCAGCGGCTGCACCGCGGGTCTGGACTCGGCCCTGTTCTCTCCCGTGGATTTTGGGAAGGACACCCCTGGAGAGGTTGGGGTGGGAACCATGCGGTGGGGGAGGGCACCTTGGTTCCCACCTCAGCCCTGCCCTTCACTCACTGTGTGTCCTTGGCCCCATCACGTTCCCTCTCTGGGCGTT